GTACAGCCAAGATACAGCCAGCCAGACAACCCCAGCTTAGCTTAGCTACAGATAGCTAGCTGCCCCTGCCTCGCATCGCTCTTGGCTAGTAGTATTGCTGCAGTATTGCAATACTGTGAGTACTGACTTGATCATGTCGGGGTAGAACTGTTTGTCCCAGGCGCTGTAGAGAGACGTCGTCAGATAAAGTCTCCGTCCGTCTAAACTCAACTGTAACATCTGAGGACCTCCAGGGATACGCTTCCCCTGAGAGACAGACAGGTGGAGACACAGACAGGTGGAGATCAATAAATAAATAATCAGCCCCATTAGGAAATGGAAGACAGGAAGTTGGACAGACAGACAGGTTTACTACTCCCTGTCTGTTGTACCTTGATGATGCGTGGGGGGGGCTGCGGCTGGTTCTCGAGGTCTACCAGGACTTTGACCGGACCGTCACGGATGATACTTCCTCCTAGAAACACCTGGAAGAGACAGACGGGTTAGCTGTCTCGCTGTGAGCGCTCACCTGTTTGTCCCTGGAAAGGTGTCACAACATTCAGACCTGGCCGACCAATCGCGGGTTCCTCCTGTCTGTGATGTCATACTGTCTGACGTCACCATGCAGCCAGTTACTGAAGTAAAGAAAACGGTCGTCCAGTGAGATCAGGATGTCAGTGATCAGTCCTGGACAGACAGACAGGGAACCAGTCAGACAGGAAACCAGACAGACAGACAGACAGACAGACAGACAGACTCACCAGGCATCTCAGGCAGCGCCCACCCCTCTACCTTCTTACTGGGAACACTGATCACCTTCTCTGCAGCCCAGTCTCCTTTCTGAAAACACACAGATGATGAGTTCACATCAAATGTGTTACTCACAGGTTTGTTGTTTTCTGCTGTTACTCATGAGAGTAACACAAGGAAATATTGGCCATTTAATCTGTCTCACTGCGACAGTTTGAATCCAACTGATCACCAATCAACCAGAACCAGAACTAGAAAGACTGGAATCTAGAACCGTGTGGTACTGACTGGTGTTTTGTAGAATCTGAAGACTGTTCCCTGCAGAGCACATCCCACGTAGCCCTCGGTGGCATCAGGGTCGTGCAGAAATCGGACCTCCAGGGGAATTGCACCCTCCTCACCCAGATCGAGTGTCTGCAGCCTCCTGTGGGTGGTCCAGTCCCAGATGTGGAGGGAGCTGCCGTAGTGACCTAGGACACAAATAACAATGAACTTTTGATTTTGGGCCAGCGGTGCAACCGGGAGCTTGACGTTGTTCTTAACGTGTGCAGAACCATGTGTTGAGAGACTTTTACTTTCATCAAATCTGGTCTCAGTTAATGGATAGCCTGGAGTGAACCTATGAGCACGGCTGTGGCTCAGAGGCAGAGCGGGTCGTCCTCCAATCAGAAGGTTGTTGGATCGATCCC